AGGCAGCATCACTACGGAAGTAGGATTGCCCAACCTTCCTTCCGAGGAGTGGCTGGTGGGTTTGAACCGCCAGCCAATAGTGCAGAGGACAACAAAGTAAAAACAGATTCCTCATGCCCTTTCAAACACATCTTCATTCTAGTTGAACCACTCTCTTATTTTTTTTCTTCTTTTTGTAATTCCTCTTCCACATTATCTATCTTACTTCCTTTGCTTCTCTACAGGCACCAGACTAAATACATACTCACAAAAGGAGTTCTGGTGTCACTGTGGTTAAGGCATTGGGTTGCTATGCTAACCAAAAGGTAGGTGGTTCTAATCTACAGCCACTCCATGGGAGGAAAATGAGGCAATCTACTTCGGTAAAGATTTACAGCTTTGGAAACTTGATGGGGATCACTAAGAGTTAGAATCCACTGGCTGGTTTATACTATCCAGAACCAAGCACCTTGCTAAATATCACATAACAATCATATGAAATAAGCACAGAGTGGGTTCTCACTTGGAGTCTCAGGTGGTACAAAGGGTTGATGTGCTCATGCTCAACTGATAACTGCAAGGCTGGAAGGTTGAATCCACCCAGAGGCACTCAGAAAGAAAGCTTTGATGATCCACTTCCAAGAAATCAGCCACTGAAAACCTACAGAACACAGTTCAACTGTGACACATATGGTGTCCTATTTCCTATTGTTTGTGTGTGTCAAAATTGACTCAGCAATTGATTTTTTATTTACATTTCAGGAAATGTTAATTTCCTGACATAAATGTTAAAGTGACCTGTTATAGCTGCTATTATATAGTCAAAAAACTGCAATGACTTAGAACAAGAGGAATATTTCTAAAAATTTTAACAAAGCAATCAAAATCCATTTTAAACAAAATTAAAATATATAAAAGCTAAAATGAAGAGCTGAAACACAATGAATGGAACCCCAAAGTGTGTGACACACACAAACAATAGGAAATCGGCCTTTAATAAGGCTAATACAGAACAGATATTTAAATGAGATCAATCTGCAGTCCCAAAGATAAATCTATCACACACAAGGCTCTTTAAGCAGTTTTTGTGATCAAAATCATCCACTAGGCAAAGAAAACCAGAACAAGGAGATAAACAGACACATCACACTAGGGGCAGTTTCCCTTTCTTTTAATTGGTCTCACACAATGCTTGTTGTTGTTGTTGTTGTTGTTTGCCGTTGAGTCGGCCCTGACTCATAGCGACCCCTCCTTGGGTTTCCGAGCCAGTATCACTACGGAAGTAGGATTGCCCAACCTTCTTTCTGAGGAGTGGCTGGTGGGTTTGAACCGCCAGCCTTCTGGTGAGCAGTCAAGTGCCCTAGGCACTATGCTACCAGAGCTCCTACACAATGCTTAGCCAAATAAAATAAACAAAGGCTCAAATGTAAATTCAAAAGCATAGGAAGAACATGACACATGACGGGATACAATTTATCTATCAGTAGGATCCGGGATTAAAGGAGTATAAGATTTTTGTAAATAATAGAAATTGCAAATTGGTGTAAAATATTTTCATAACACTGAGGAATTAAAAGGAAATTTTGGCTTCTATGTTATAAAATGTAGAAAAGAAGCCTAGATTAAGGATCGGAAAAGAGTCAATGTTTTTACTTTGAATAAAGAGAATCCCTGGGAAATCCTAAACCTCAAACTAAAACTTGCCTCAGCTTGGAATGATTACAGCCTACGATAGTTTGTAAGTCCACTAACCAAATAATCACTGCAAACCATTAATAGTCTGAATCTTAGTAAAGAAAAAATTATAGAGAAAACTGAAAAATAAGATGCACTTTTATTGAAGACATTGCCCTAATCCTGAATATGACCCTAGCCATGTTCTGATTTAGGCAGCTAATATACTGTATAAAGAACAATCACAAGTACTTGTGAAAAAGCATGGGGCTTACAGTGTGACCTATTTCAAATTCAAGTTTTACCATTCACTGCTATTATGACCTACAGCAAAAAAACTTAACTTCCTTCAATCTGAGGATATTAATTCATATTAAAAAATAAGCATTATAATACGATTATTCACTCTACTTATATTTATGGGATAAATTAAAATAATAGAACATCTTGCAAATGTTAATTAAATTTAAATTCAGTTTTATCCATTACCTTTAATTAAGCCAGTAATACTAACTGGAAAAAAAATAAAAGACATAACTTCAAAATGATAGAATACTCAATTCTGAAAACTAAGAAGCTTATCACTTATCAAGTAGCTGGCCCCTCTACACAAAGTGTGTCTTATTTTGAAAAGGATCAAAAATTGTTAAATCGTTTGCCAAGAGCAATTTATAGTCACACAACTTGAATAAAATGCCTTTTTATCCATTTAATTCTTTCCAGCAAGGCTATTGTTTAAAAGAAGTAATTTCTGAATATTGGCCTTTCCAGTATAATGGAATTTTATTAATATGTAGACAGTGCTCTTAGCTGTCTGGACCAATGAAGCCAATATGAAAACGCTTTTCTGAATACTAATGACCTTTTTATATGTCATCCAATGCATGTAACAAATGCCTCTTAAAGTATATATGCGCCCTTTCAAACACTTCTTCATTCTAGTTGGAACACTTTTTTTTTTTCTTTCTATAATTCCTCTTCCACATTATCCATCTTACTTCATTTCTATCTCTCTAGGCAGCAGACTAAATGACTTGATGCTGTGTTCTGCTCCTTCAGCCTAAACCTCTCCTTCACAAATCTTTCTCCTACCCTTCTTTCTTAGAAGCCTCCCTTGCCCCTGCCTGGGTCCCATACCCTCATCTCTTAGCTTCTTTCCATAACACTATCATAGAATGCAATACTGAGTGTTCTAATTATTTACATCTGTTTCTCGTCTATGTTTTATTCATCTCTGTACCCAGCAGGCTGTCCACTAAAGAGCAAAAGTTACCATTCACTCTCAGACATATGCCCACTGCTCTAATCTGCCTGCTCTCTTTACTGCCCTACAAACAAAACATGCTACTGACTACCGTCTCTCTTCTTCCTCTTTATTCCTCACCCCAGCTCACACAGCCACAGTGATTTTCTCTCTTCAACAGAATCAAATCTACTCCTCATAGCTTCTCTTGCTCTCAAGGGTCTCATCCTTTTTTCAACTCCATGACATTCAATTTCAGTAGGTAAACATATATATGTGTATGTATCTATATCTATATCTATATTTATCTCTATCTCTGTATCGATAATGATCTCATATCATACTTCTAAATAAACAGATCTTACTGACACCATCAACAACAAGAGTAAGCAGTAAATTAATAATACTATGGAAACTAAGGGGAAAATCACTAATTACAGTTATTATAGCAATTACACATCTTAATAAAGGTAAATCGAATTTCCATTATATTCACTTTGTTTTTATACACTCTTGAGCGTGTGACACTTAAAATCAAAGTACAGGAGAAGATTCTTTTGCTGTGAGATTATCTGCTAAACAAAAGGCTGGAGGTTCAAGTCCACTCAGAGGCATCTTAGAAAAAAGGCTTAGTGATCTACTTCCAAAAATCAGCCACTGAAAACCCTACGAAGCACAAGTCTACACGGGGTCATCATGAGTCTCAAAATCCATTTGATGGCAACTGGTTTACTAGCTTCTTTCTGTCATCATATTTGGAGTTTCACTGCAACCCTCTGAAGTATGAGTAAAGAGAATGTCATTTGAGTTGGGACCACTATTATACATGTCACATTGGTTTAAGGGTTGTTCAGAAACAAAATGCCAACATATTTATCTGTTCTCTACTATTCAAACATAGTTTGATATTGTTGTTAGTTGCCATCAAGTCACTGCAAACTCATGGTGACCCCAGGTGTACAGAGTAGAACTGCTCCATAAGGTTTCCAAGGCTGTGACCTTTAACAAGCACATCTCCAGGCCTGTCTTTCAAGGCACACCTGATGGGTTGGAACCCCCAAACTTCCCACTAGTAGTTAAGCACTTAACCGCCATTTGCACCACTGAAGGACTCAGGTTTGTTTTGAGAAGAAAAATAAGTAAATAAATAAATACACACACACACACACACACACATATAATAAGTAAATAAAAATGAAGAGTGCAGGACTGATAATGGAACATCATTTTAAATTATGACTAGGAAACATTCTACTAAGATGGTATAGGAATTATATGATGCCATTCCAAATATGGACTAAAGAAGGCAGGAAAATTTAAGATTCTTATTACTCAAGATGAACTGATCTTTATAAGTTTGCTATAGTGGTGATATAGTTTAACAGAATTGTCAGTTAAAAATTTTATTTGTTGTTGTTGTTGTTATGTGCTGTCGAGTCAGACCCAACTCATAGCAACCCCTCCTTGGCATTCCGAGGCAGTATCACTACGGAAGGAGATTGCCCAACCTTCCTTCTGAGGAGTAGCTGTTGGGTTTGAACCGCCAACCTTCTGGTTAGCAGTCAAGTGCCTTAGGCACTATGCTACCAGAGCTCCTAAAAATTGTATTAGCTATTATTATATGTGTTAATCCTTTACATGAAAATAGTCCAAATTCAACTGATAATGTTCCAATTCTTTTCATCAACCTAGGTATTTTCTGAGCTCTTATAATGTACTCAGGATTTTCATTAAATAAGGCACTGATACTCTAAAGAGTACTTGTCTTATTTTGAAGAAACTGAATTTTAGGATCTATTACAATCACAACAGATACTACTAATGCTGTTTTCCTTCCTGTCATCCATCTTTCCCCACTTCCTATAGTTCTTTGCCCCCTTTTGTCTTCTCTTTTCTTCGTCCAGAAATTGGAAGAATTAAAAACTCCAAGTTCTTTACTATACCATGGTATAATTTCTGGTCATTATGTAACTAAAAAAAATATTTTTCAATTAATGTGTATAATGATTTTGTCAGTAAATTTATTTATTAGGCTCCACATATTTATGTTTTATATTTTTCTATTGCTAAATATAGTCTCTGTTATTATATTCCTTATACTTACCCTGGCTCTTTGTGTATCTTGATGTTTTGTGGTTTGTTTTTTCGGTTTAATTCATTTCCATTCTTGAACCACTTGAATCTGAGAGATGAGTATTCAGAACTGGTTTCACACCGAAGTACTAGTTTGGAACCTGCAGCTGATTCCTGGCTTTTCATCTCTTTTAATCGGGGAGGCAAGGCTAAAAATTAAGAGAGAAAGAGAGAGAGAAAAAAAAAAAAAGTCATTCAGCAATCTTTCAAAGGGAAACATACTAATTTTGGATAAGCCAGATCAAGACACCATTCCCAATGATTTTATTAACCAAGAGAGAGAAAAAAAATGAGTTGGCCAAAATGAATCTCAACTTGGAAAAAAAAATAAAATGCCTCAACAATATATGTTGTGGTTGTTGTTATGTGCCGTCGAGTCGGCCCCGACTCATAGCGACCCCTCCTTAGGTTTTCGAGGCAGTATCACTACGGAAGTAGGATTGCCCAACCTTCCTTCCGAGGAGTGGCTGGTGGGTTTGAACCGCCAGTCGTCTGATTAGCAGGCAAGTGACTTAGCCACTATGCTACCAGAGCTCCTACAACAATATATACTAAGAAAAAAAAATCAGCGATCTAACTTATGAATAAAATTATTCTTACAAACATATTATTCTAGCTACTTCCTCAATCTTTACATTGTTGAAAAGCATTACAAAAACTAAACACTGGTAACTTCAAAAACCAAGAGCCCGTGCTAAAGGAAAAATGTAATCAGATCACTATTTTTAAACCACTTTTTCATCCAAGAAGGAGCTCTGGTGGCTCAGTGGTTAAGACATTCAGTGGTTTGTACCTACCAAAAGCTCCACAGGAGAAAGATGTAGCAGTCTGCTTCCTTAAAGACTTACAGCCTTGGAAACCCTGTGGGGTAGTTCTACTCTGTCCTATAGGGTTGCTATGCATCAGAATTGACTCAGTGGCAGAGGGTTTGGGTTTTGGGGTTGCATCCAAGATCATAACGTATCTTCATAGAAGTACTGCGAACAAGTATAGCAGGTATCATACCTACCTTTAAAATGGAGAAGTCAAATATAGGAAAGCAACTGTCTTATCCATGGAAACAACTTTGTAAAGAGTCAGAATGACTCTGGGATAATTTCACAAGTCTGTCTTCAGAGGCGCCCGAAAAACAAAGAGAACTCATAAATCTTAACACTGGCACCTTTCTTCAAGACGGAAACTCTCTGGCAATACTACTCTTTTACTGGACCTACAAGTGCTGTCACATACCCAATGAATGACCATTCCAGATGACCACCACACTCATTTCAAATGATAATTTTCTCAGATTTGTTGTTGCTATAATATGCCATCGAGTTGATTTTGACTCATAGCAATGTTCTAAATATTCTCAACAGGGACCCCAAGCACCTAAACTGTGTATTAGCACATAGAATAGATTAAGCACCCATGTGCTATTTGTATTTTAAGCAAGACGGTTTAAAAGACTAGGAGCTCTGGTGGCATAGTGCCTGTTCGGGTTACCTAGTGCCGCTCTGACAAGAATATACCACAAATGGGATGACCTTAACAAACAGGAGTTTATTCTTACAATTTGGAGGCTTTAAGCCCAAGTTCAAAGTGCCAGGATCTAGGGGCTGGGCGAAAGCCCCTCAACCTTGGGGTCCAGCTCTGCCTCCTGCTCCCGGCCCACTGGAGCTAGAGGCATTTCTTCACTCAGACAGCTGCTGGCCACTGAAGCTGAGAAGCCCAAAGGTTGGCAAGTAAAAAGGCACAGTCTTGATGTTACCAAACCACACAGCAGGGCATTAATTTAAGTCCATTGTTAAGTCCCAAGGTCGGCAGAGCATAGCAGGCTGCTTTGTAATGACACCGCTATACGCAGGGCCCAACAGTGCCATAGGCTATAGACCATTCTCAAAGCTTCTGCTTATATACAGGAAGTAGACCACATACCCAAAGGCAGCTACTCAGCTGCTCACAGTAGATTCCACCATAGAGTTGATTACCAGTCTCATCACGGAGAATACTATATCCAGCTGCCCAGCTACTCAACCAGGCCTAGCCAAGTTGACATACAAACATAACCATCACAGTGCCTAAGGCATTTGACTGCTAACCAGAAGGCTGGTGGTTCAACCCACCAGCCACTCCTCAGAAGGAAGACTAGGCAATCTACTTCCATAGAAATACTGCCTCAGAAATCCAAGGACAGGTCACTGTGAGTTGGAATCGACTCGATGGTAGTGAGTTTGTTTTTTTTTTTTTTTTTGGTTTAAAAGGCTATTATCTATGAGATATTTATGGATGAAATGTTATAATAATCTGAAATTTGCTTCAAAAAATGTTCCAATTGGGACACATTATGTATAAAGATGAAATACATTTACTATAGTGTTGAAACTTGTGGAAACTGAGCAATAGGTATACACAGTGCTTTGTTTTGCAATCCTGTATAGTATGTTTGTTTTTCTCTTCATGTTTTCTGAAAATAAACACATAAATGAAAGATTTTCTTCTGCACACAAAATTTCCCTTAACAATCTATATCATAGATCCTAAGATCTCAACAACTCTCAGTTTCGACTGTGTCTCTGAAAAACCAACTATTAAGTTGATTTTTGACCTAGTTCAGGAATTATCAGGAAGGCCCAGAAAACACAACCAGGCAACTAAAACTAAACCTTGCTGATTCTGTGCTTGATTATTCATTGAATAAGGCAAGCACCACTCCTAGGACAGCAATCAGAGTCACGTTAGACATGAACAGGAAATGGAGCACCCTTCCTACTTGGTGTACATTTGTTTTTCTTCTCCTTGGTCCTTACCAAATAAATCACAAAACTGTCAGGCATGAACGTATGAAGGTCCCAATAAATTACAGCAAAAACCATTTGAAGACTGTGATTTCTTAGCAGTACTCCTACAATTACACGTCTTTCTTTTTATTTATTTAGGGACTGAGAGATGAGGTGGGAAACAGGCACTTAATGTGGTGCACATACTGGCAAGCTAGAAAACTTATTTCAGCTGTTCTTAGCCTTTGATACCTGATGATTCTGTCTGGTTCTCTTTCTTGACAGCTTGAAAATAAGATTTACTCCCTCTACACCTCTCTTAGGAGTCTTCTTTAAAAAAAGTGGAGGTTTTTAAAAACAGACTAAATTTTCATCTATCTGGAATGGTCAATATATTTCTAATAACTCTTAAAATCATTTTCAGTTTTGTAAGTCTAGTGAAGAGTTTCAAAGGAAGAAATTTGCTGGAGCTAAATGGCACTAAAGAAACTGGTTTGCACATATTAAAATTGAATTGCCTTATTATTTTATGTACAGATTAAAATAACTAGTGTGAACTCTTTGTTGATTTTCACTGAAGTTTACATTTAACTTGGCATACAACCAAAACCCTCAGAGTTTATTTCCTTGCCTCTAAGCAAAATACTCTAAACTCAGAATTTCAGATAGCCTTAATTTTCAATAAGGAGCTTTGATGGTGTAGTATCTAAGGCATTTGACTGCTAACCAGAAGGCTGGCAGTTCAAACCCACCAGCCATTCCGTGGAAGGAAGACTAGACAGTCTCCATTCATAAAGATTTACTGCCTTGGAAACCCAAAGGGGGTCTCTATGAGTTGGAATCTACTTAATGTCAGTAAGTTTGTTTGTTTTCACTTTCAATAAGAACCAGATGTCATTCACCACATAAATCTGCTTATCAATGTAGTATGGGCATATATCTACCAGACTTGGTATTCATTCATTCATTCATTCATTCATTTATCTAATTTGAACAAACCATTTATTATAAAGTAAATTTGTTTTTTTCTTCCTGCTCTTTTCTCTCATTCCTCCCTTGTTTCTTTTTGTCTCGCTTTCTGTTATCTCTCCTTCCCCTGTCCCTCCTTAGTTATCCAGTGCTACTGTATAACAGAAATGCCCAAGTGGCTGGCTTTAACAACAGGAACTTATTTTCTCACAGCTTAGGAAAGGATGGAAGTCCAAATTTAGGGTGCCATCTCTAGTGGGAAGGCTCTCTCTGTCTCTGTTAGCTCTGAAAGAAAGTCCTTGTCTCTTCTGAGATTCTGCTCCTGGGTAAACTTTATGTGACTTGGTATCTCTCTTTCCTCATCTCTGCTACCTAGCTTGCTGGTTTTATCTCTTCTACATCTCAAAATAGATTTATTCAATATATATCCTACATCAATCCTTCCTTATTAACATAACAAAGAAAATTCATTCCCAAAAGGGATTATAACCACAGGTATAGAAGTTAGGATTTATAACACATATTTTTGGGGTACATAATTAAATCTATAACACCTCACTTTGTTCAAATATTCATTCATTCATTCATTGTGAATCTTTATTTCAAAAATGAGGAAGCAATGGGACAAATTTAAATTGAGAGATATTCTACAAAACAATCAGTCTGAGCTTTAAAACTGCCAATGTCATAAATGACAGAAGAAGACAGTGAAAGTGATGTTGATAAAAGCCATTTAAAGAGACATGACAAATAAAAATAATGTGATTGGATGGTGCTTCAAGTTAAAAAAAAAAGCTATAATGAAGTTATTGAAAAAATATGAATAAAGATACTGTATCAGAAATGAATTTCTCAAGTGTGATCACTGCATTGTGCTTATGCGGGAGATGCCCTAATTCTTAGGAAATATTTGCTAAGTATTTAGTGGTGAACTGTCATGAAGTCTTTAATTAAATTTCAGATGAAACAGCAAATAAGAAAACAAATGTATGCATACACACACACAAACACACACAGAAGGAAAGAAAAATGTCTTGGTTTCTCTTTGCTTTCCCTCCTGGCCTTTCTGCCATTAAATAAAATGCCTATGCTTCATTAACTACTTCTAAAGTCTCAGTTAGGAGCTCTGGTAGCACAGTGCCTAAGGCACTTGACTGCTAACCAGAAGGCTGGTGGTTCAAACCCACCAGCCACTCCTCGGAAGGAAGGTTGGGCAATCCTACTTCCGTAGTGATACTGCCTCGGAAACCCAAGGAGGGGTCGCTATGAGTTGGGGCTGACTTGACGGCAAATAACAACAACAACAAAAGTCTCAGTTAAGATTGCAGACACAAAGGAAATTCTAGGGAATATTCAAATTATAATTTACACATGCAGCCCCATGATTCTATTTTAATTCTGTAAGAGGTACTACACTGAAA